TGAGGTCACTGGATACCTATTTAGTTTAATTTTAATGTTATCATTGAAATGTGATTTGATTCATTTTAGATATATTATATTTCGTTTTGATCTTAATTGTGCAGTACCATAAGACTGAAGAATCAAGTGGTATGCAATACAGCATATAGCTCATTTAATACACTAGTCTATCATATTAAGCCATAATACTTTGTTTAGGTGTTTGGGTATTATATAAACAAGCACTATATTTGTTATATATGAACCCACTGTCTGTATTGATATACAGTGTTCTTTAAAGTTTGTGAACACCTTTGAACGTTTAATATTTATGCATAAATATGACTTAAAATGAGATCTGTTCTCCACACAAGACCTAAACTTAGATACAAAGAACCCAGTTAAATAAATGAATCAAAAACATTATACCTGTTCATGTATTGATTGATTAAAATTAATCCAGACTACATATTTTTGTCTGTCAAATGTATGGAAACCTTTGCATTCAGTAAAGTAATTGGTGTGCTCCTTTCATATTTTTCACATAACAGGTCTGAAGAACGGTCCTTGTACCTTCAAGGTGGTTTGGAAAATATGCCTGAAATCCTAGAAGGGGACCACCGCCAACCAGTGTAGACAAAACTGAGCACCATTCAGTATTAACCAACCTCTTGTGTTTATAACTTTGACCAAAAGCCCTGCTAAGTGTTGCTTGTTTGCGTACTGATCAAAAAGCTTGAAAAATGATGGTACTTGGATGTTGCAGTGAGCCAATCCATATTGACTCAATTAACTAGAGTGAAGAGAGTGGCAGGTGCTGATACAGGTGCAGAGGGATTGCAGTTCCTTGTATTCATGCCCTGTCTGATGCTGTTTATTTGCATCGTTTCCAGCTCTATGATGTATTTAAAGCAAAGAAAATGCCAGAGTGAGATTTCCGTAAACTCATGTAGACAGAGTGCCATCTGCTGACAAAACAATCCTTGTAGAAAGAAGAAGAAATGTATGAACCATTGCAAGCATTCAGGTCTCCTGCCTGACAATCCAACTGTGCCCCCACTTGCAAAAGGCCGACACCTAGATGGATAATTTGAAGACTTTGTCCGATGTTATTTCTCTTTTAAATTTGGATAGCTCAAGTACTTTTTCAAACAGGACGCCTTAAAAAAGATTGTTTTATGTTACTTACTTATTAAATTAATTAATAGCTTGTCTAGGACTACCTTAACATGAAATAGTTAAAGTAAAATAATATAGAGAGAATATAAAAGAAGTATCCATAAAAAGAGTACCAGCACCATCAAAACAAAGAAGTTCACCAACTACTTTAATCGTAGGCCTGTGGGAAGAACCAGGTTTTAGGGGCTCATTTAAATAGGGTCAAAGTGGGGGCTATGCAAATCTTGGAGGCCTCTTTGCAGAGGGCAGGTGTTGAAAAAGAGAAGGTTCATTTCCTTGTCCCTATCAGGTGATACTATCTATTTGATGGTATGCAAAGCTTGCTGACTGCGTCATCATTTAGGAAGGAAAGAAGCTATGGAAGACAGATGGCCATTCAAATAACCAGCCTATGCCATGAAGGGCTTTATGCATCACCTTGAATTGCACTAGGAAACCTACAGGTACAACCTACTATACTGGTACACCTGTACAGCTCACAAAGCAGAGGTGATGTGCATGTGCCATAGCATGCTCATAACTACCGTGATTCCCCAAAAGTAAGACCTACCCTGAAAATACAGTATTTTTCCGTGTATAAGACGCTTTTTCCTGCAAACACCCTGTTCAAAAATCAGGTGCGTCTTATACACGGAAAAATAATGGTAACCTCCGCAGCCTAGGGCATGCCTGTGTGGGTTGCCATGGTGCAGGTATCAAGCCCCTGTGGGCTTGCCACTAAGGGGAGGGGGGAGGGGGCAAGATCGGCCGAACTTGCGGATTTGATTGGCACAGAGAAACTCGCATGCCAGAGCGTCTTATACAAGTGTGCGTCTTATAGGCAGAAAAATACGGTAAGAGCTAGATTTTTGGGCCTAAGTCCTACCCTAAAAATAAGCCCTAGTTTTGGGGGCAAGGTGCACACCTAAAAATCAAGCTAGGGGGGGTGGAGCTGCCCCACGTGCCCCACACCCACTTACCGTTGCAGCCAGGCCTCCCATGAATCGACACCAGCCTGCATTTCTACATCAGAGACCTTCTGGAAAGGTCTCTGCAGCCAAGAACTGAGCTATGGATTGAATCTGATGGCAAAATGGAGGCTGGGGGTGAAGCGCACGAGTGGCGGCCACAGAAGAAGTGGGCTGATGGGGCTGTTGGTGCCACAGCCGTGAGGGGAGACCGTGGAAAAGACACCTCCCGAAAATAAGGTCTGGTGCCTCTTGGAGGCAAAAAAAAAGGTCTGGGTCTTATTTTCAGGGAAAGTCCTAGCTTTTGAGTGGTTTTCAAGGGGAGCTCCATAAAAAGCACACTGCATTAATTCAAATACACGATGACCAACTGTCCTAAGCCACCTGTTCCAGGTAGTTCCTCTGTTGAGGGACATGGGTGGTTTCAAAATTTGATAAATACATAATAAATCACAGATGAATTTGTGTAAAGGCATTCCTTGTCAGAGTAGCCACCCACTTCCTGAACAGGAAATGTAAGTCTATGAACACCCCAAACTGTACAAATAGGACATATTGTCGCTCTAGCATCATAGGATGTGGCAATCCAGTATCTACATACAAAGTGAACTACCAGTGAATATAATTTGGAATTGCTGTCCCTTTTCAGTCTGTCTTAAGACTTGTGGGCTTCTCCCTACTTGCGCCCAATCATGTAAGTAGAAATATGCCCTAGCAAACTCTTTTTTGTGCCATGTCCCCATTAATTGGCTTTATCTATCCTAAAGAGATATTTTATCATGTTTGGTGGATGTGTTAAAAAACCCAGAAAATTTTGGATTCAGTACATGCACTAATTCAGAAGATTCTAAAGAGTAATGTACAATTGAAACCAGAGACCTGTATTTTGGGATTAATGGATAAGCAGCTAGAAAAAAGTAATGGAACTTTGTTTTTATATATAATAACTGCAGCAAGATTATTATATACTTGAAAGAGGAAAGAGTTTGGCACTAGTCACAATGGAAGAATGGTTGGTGAGGATGATGGAACTTGCAAAGATAGCAAAATTGACTTCTTTGATTACAGAGAAGACAATATTTACAATCTATTTATTGCTGACTATAAACTTCTTATAAACCTTTTGCATGAAATGGAAAACAAACTTTTGATTTATGATTCTGATGATTAGAAAATATTAGATAATAGAAAAAAGTCAGCCTTTTTGTAATCATAGAGCAAAAGTTAAATTTTAATCACTTGTATTTGTTACAAGGAAATTGAAGTTTCTTTCTATTTTTTATACCTTCCCTTTCTTTCTCTTTGCCTTTTTTATTATGTATCATTTTTGGTTAGTTTTTATTTTCTTTTTAAAGTTTTTAATAAAATTTATAGAAAAATATTGGCTTTATCCTCATTTCTGAATATAACATCCACACGTTGTCTTTTGTATTAAAATCATCCTGTTTTTACAGTTGCACAAGCTTCATAGAGAGGCCAGCATTAACAAATAATTAAAATTGTGAGCCACACGTATCCAAAGGAGAATGGAGAACTAAATAAAAGGCGGATAATTTTTTTAAAAAAAAGATTAATATCGTGCTTGATCCTAGTCAAAAATACTCACTGGAAAATCTAGTGTCCCAGGCATGTAGGAAAAGTTCTACAAATGTCAAGCACATATTAAATTATATTATTTTTTGGTTTTTGCTATCTAAGAAAATAGGGATCTGCTGCAAACCAAGATTGCTTCAAAATGACAACAGTATTACTGATATCATGAGGCCATCTCTGTTCTACTTGGTTGTATCTTGCTGCAAAAACTTAAGTTGCAGGGTTTGGTCATGGTTTGTCACTTGCTTCTCATTGTCTCCCAGTACTACCTCTGGGGGAGCTGGTTGTCCTATTTCATAATGGCCCAGGGTGACTTTGGGAAGCTGTTTTGTGATCGTTGCAATCAATGTGTCCTGATTTCACTTGGTCTATTTTATCCTGCTTAAGAGGTCTGCACTACTTCTACCTGCTCATTTGGGAGTCTCACTGAACTCATTTCTTGCAGAACTGGGTGTAGTTCAGACAGCAATTTGTACAAACAGATGGAAAACATGGGGAGAACTGAAAGTACCTTCATTTCACTATCAGTTGGCTACAATTTTATGTTTGATTACCTGAAAATAAGTGACAGGAATCTTGTGAAATTTAGCAATCTGATACTCTTGCTTCTGTGAAGACAGGCAGGTCAAGATGTGGACAATATAATTTATGTTCTTCCTAATTTTGTGGTTTTATTCACAGGGAATTTGCCCCCATTTAAATTTGAATGCATGCCTCAGTATTGGGCAATAAAAGACTCTCTCCCTCTAATGTAAACATGATGAAATAAATATGAATAAACTATTATTTGGACATCCTGTTTGATTGGATCACCCATTTAGGATCTAAAAAGTATCTGCAGAAGCCTCTCTGGTATTGCTACCAGCAAGCAGCATTGTTATGGTTGGTTCATATAGGTAGGGAAGGAATATTTCCAGAACTGAAATTACAGAGTTGCACAATGCAAACCATAAGAAGACAAGAAATAATTTATGCTGTCATCCAAATAGAAAGCACATGTAGAAGAACAAAAGAGCCCAGTTTGGGCTTTTGCAACTCATGGCCAAACCGTGATGCCTTTAGAGTTGAAGGGGGTGGTGTAGAGGGTGTGTGAAGAAAACCCCACCTTTGTACAAACTCTGCCAAAGAATTGAGATCAAAAGGCGGGTTGAGCCTTCAGTTGTAAACTCAGCTTTAAATTTGTGTGTTCATAGTTTGCAGAAGATCCTGCAAACACTGTAAAATTGCTCATATCTTCAAGTTCTAGGAAAAATACTGTTCATTAGTGCTCGGGGGAAAAACAACAACAAAAAGGTCAGCAACATGAATGGAGATCTTTTCCAAGTAAGTCCACTATATTATGAAGTTATTTAAATGTTAAAAATAAACACTAATGTGTATTTTTTAAAGAATGCATGATGTTGCAGTGACTAGTTATACAACTTTCAATTCTATGCCTTCAACAGCAAGGTAATTATAGGCTAAGTCATTATCTTTCTATTCCTCCACATACTTATTTTATTTTATTTTATTTTATTTTAATTGTTCTGGAACCGAGGAAGGGGGAATCAATTTGCAGGCATAGCAATTTTTCCACATAGATTTTCCTATGAATAATTTGTATTATGATAAATATACGTTTACTTGAACTACTGTGGAGAAAGTTAGGTATTTATGAGAATGTTTCCCACAACAAATAAATAAGTTATATAAATGTATGTTAAGTCTAACCTACGTAGTTTCTCTACATTGAGATTTAAAATATATGTTCATGTTAAGAAACTGCAGTTAAACACTAACTGCACTAACTGCATAATATCTCATGCAGCCTTCTTAGAATCTGGAGATGGGTCCTGGTGAATGATATTTTTGATGAAATATGTGACAGATAGAAATATTTACTGTATGCTGACCATGGGCACCAAAACATATCTACAATTAGAAACCCCAGATCCTCGAATTTGTGAGCAAAGGAATTTGGGGAAAAGAAAAGAATGTCATCTAATTTCTTTACGGCAATGTTTCATTTCTTTCCCAGTATAAGCAAGTATCCTCAAATGTATTTGTTTATCACCAATAGTGAAGCATATCTAAAATCTGGTGAATGCCTGACTCAATGTAATATGAAAATTAGACCACTAAGTGATTATATCAAGTTGTTTTCAACTCTTAATGAATACACAGATTTTTTTCCATGACAATTTATCTCTAACTTGGTCTTTCAGGTCTTCACTACTGTAACTGAGCCCAACCACATTGCTACTGGCCACCTTTTCTTTCTTTCCGTCTTTCCTAGCATTCCAACATTTTCCAAAAACTTAGATCTTTGCATACTGTGTCCAAAATAGAATAATTTCAGCCTGGTAATCTGTGTCTCAAGTAAGAACTCTTGGTTGAATTGTTTGATGATTCATTTGTTTTCTTGGCTGCCCACAATATTCTCAAGAATCTTCTTCAACAGCAAGTTCGAAGGCTTCAATAGTCTTCCTACTGTGCTTCTTCAAATCCAACTTTTGTTTTCATAATGTATCACAGGGAATACTGTAGCATGCATAATTCTGGTCTTTGGAGTTATAAGCTAGATCAAGATTTATCTAACAGTTGGATGCATTTGAAAGCAGAGAAACCTGAAGGTGCTTCAGTCTCTTCCTATGTGCCTAGACCAGTGATGGTGAACCTTTTAGAGACCGAGTGCTCAAAAACTGCCCCGCCCCCCAGCCTGCCCATGGGGCCAGCCCGCTGCAGCAGATCGCCCAGGCAGCCCTGCAGTGCCATGGTGGCCATGCCCCCTGCCCGCACCACGCAGCATCATCTGCATGCGATGGGGCGCGAGGGCGGAGTCTTGTCCCTGCTGCCCGGCTGCCATGTCCTTGACTGTGCTGCTCCATGTGGGCTGCACCTGGGGATGACTCTCCGGGGGGCTGCTGTGAGGAGGGGGCCACAGGGGAGGCGGGGCTGGGGCAACGGCACACGTGCCCACAGAGAGGGCTCTGAGTGCCCCCTCTGGCTCACGTGCCATAGGTTCACTACCACTGACCTAGATTATGGAAACAAATAGCAGATTTACCTTTCAATTGCATTGAACTGTCCCTATTTCAGAGGCTTCCTTCAGCTCGGATAATCTCTGAACGGAAATATTTAATATTAATGGACTTTTAGCTGCTGTTGTTTCTTATTCTTCAAACAGTTTAGTAGTTCCATGGCTTTTGTGGATGGGACTCTATCACTTTATTCTGGCTTCTTTTTGAAAAGCTGTTTTTCCATATTAACTAAAGTGGAACTAAACAAATACCACAGTGAAATCCACTAATGAATTCCTGATTTCCCAAGAATAAAAATAAAGGATGTACAAAACATCAAATGTTACCCTGCTGGGATAAATGTAGTAACTCTGGATTTGTTCAAAATTTTCCTCATAAGAGGGTATAACCCTCCCCCTCCCAGTCTTTGGATGTGCTTAATTTCTTCACAATTGCTTAATTGTGAAGATTGCTTGTAGCAATGAAGCAATAAAGAGCTTTATTTTTGTGTCAGGATATTTTTCTCACCCTAGTCCTAAAATTTATTGACCATGCAATTTGCTCTCCAACATAAAGAGTTAAACCAAAATGGTTTGAGCTGATTTTTTTCCCTTTTTGTAACAAACATTTACTGAAAACAGACATTTCTATTTACAAAGAGCCATTGAATAGTTCTAGTGGAACCTTTGTCTGACATTTAATAAGTATGCCTCATGAGCTTCACAGGCTTGATCTGGGCCAGTGGATTAATGCCACAAATGATATGTGCTGAAAAAAGTATAGGCTATTTAACAAGAAGTTTTCTTGTCTCAGACTCAACACATGTAGCTTAAGAAAGTAGCGAGGAAGACTGGCAATACTAATAAAACTAAGAAGGAGGAGGTAGACATTAGATTTATTTTTTGTGCATTTTAAAAAAGCAAGCTTCTAATAATCACTGCTGTAAAAACTTAGTTTGCCAAACCTAAGAACAGTTGCTTCACAACAACCTTCTTCCATTCCCACTCAGTATATCGTATGTGCAATTCAAATTTTATGAAGCTTGTGGCAGTAGAGGCTGCTTCCCCATCCCTAAGGAAACAAGCCAATGGCAAGAACTATCATTTTAAACACATTTAACCTTTAAAAAAACCTTTTTTAAATCAGTCTGCTTATATGTGACTTAAGGTGGATGAGAGTTATAAAAAAAACTTGGAAAAATTGAGTGTAAAACAGCTAGCCAGATTCCATTTTAGAACTCGGAGTAGATGCAATTAGTTTCCAGACACCAAAGCCTTGTAATTAATTTCATATTTATTATATAGGAATCCAGGTACATTGAAGAGAACACTTCCCAGAATGATGCAATCTCTCTGATTTTTTCCCTCAAAGAAGAAGTTGGAGCCTTGGCCAAAATTCTTCGCATATTTGAGGTATGTATTTTGCAAAAGCAGCTGTAGGAAGAGAGACACCACCAGTGCTGCAAAATGACAATCCAGCCATCATGGATGCAGTCCACAGATGTCATCTTCTTTGTGGCCAATCTCAGATGACAATTTCAAAATTGTCACCTCCCAAACTCTGGCTGTTACTCTTTTGTTTCTTTGCTCCTACAGTATTCTATGATATTGGCCGTTTGGCAAGAGAAAATGGTGAGGAATTGCAGAAAGCAGCAATTCAAAATGAGCTGGATTTTATATTAACTGTTTATCAAAATCTGTTGTCCAATTTCATCAGTCATTCTTCACCTGCAAAAAGTACTTGTATCTTTTTTTCCTAAAGAAATGTTGTCCAATTTCTTTAGGGCGGCATAGTGGCTCAGCAGTTATGACTCTGGGCTGATTGGCTAGAAAGCTGACAGGTTCAAGACCTAAACACTACGTGACAGGGTGAGCTCCTGTTTTCACCTCAGCTCCTGCCAACTCCTGCGTCCTGATGATGTTTAGGTTTAAACATGTTAACAACATTCCTTTCTATTGCACTTAATAGAACTTTATGTCATTCTGCAGTCATAAAGTCTCATTGAACTGCTCATAGATGAAATGCAAACAAAACGTTTCAAGGGCAATATACACTTTCTCTTCACTATAGAGCATCATACATTATGCTTAGTTCATATAATCCACCTTGAGAAGATTTGTTTAAAGAAATCTGCCCTCAATTTCAGACATAATATATAATTAATATAATTGCATTTATCATATTTGGAATCCTCTTAAATATATCTCTTGATATGGTCATAGGAAACTACTTTAAAGTTATTTCTTAAATGGTTTCTTTCCCTGCACATCTTTCCATCACTCTGAAAACTCCTTGGCTGTCCACATTTCCCAGTCTGGAAAATTAAAAAAAAAATGGAAACAATCCCACAACCTTAACATAAGGATTTTTCCTGTGATATCCTTCTTTGGGATTTAAGTCTGAGAAGCCAGAAATAATTTTACAATGAAAGAGGGAACATTAATACACACTTTTTAAATTCTATGTAAGTATCCCCAACTTCTTGAAAATTTCATTCAATGTTTTGGGGTGGGGAGAATCAAAAGCAGATGTTTCTAGTCAAACTGAAAGAGAATGATGGTGAGAGGAACAGAAAAAGAAATTATGACAGGAACACTAGTTGTTTTCAATGTCAGATATATTTCCACATGTTCTGAATTATGCAGAAACATTCTGTAGAGAGCACTGATGCTCTCTCCCCCCCCCATGTAAGAGCCAAAAAGATAATAACAGTATGATAATAACTCTACTTGCTTTCTGGTAGCTAATTTCCCTTTGGAAATCCCAGAATTTGTGGTTTTCTTTCTTTCTTTAAATAAGATTTAGTGTGGGTTTTTAATGCACTGTATGTCTAGGAAAAAGTTATATTGAAACACAAATTGTGTAATAAACAGAGTTCCATGAATTTTTTTATTTAGGAAAATAATAATTGAGCTGCAAATGGAGAGGAAATACAGGGTAGTGAGAGACAGGTAGATTTTTTTTTTCATCCTGAAGCTTCTGTTTCATAACTGAAGGAAAAAAAACCCCCAATGATTACCCGGATGAGATGTGTAAAACCTTTCCTTCTGTGTTCATTGACTTCAGACTGGATTTTCAATCAATGCATCTAACTCAAACTTTGCTCAAAAGATATACAAAATGTTTGACTCAGATGCATTGATTGAAAATCCCTCCCCCCCCCCAACACACATACAGTATGTGGGATGGAAACAAGATATTTTACATAACAAAATGGCTCTGTTCAAGTCTTGAGATGTCATTTGGATCATGGGCAGGCAAATGTTTGTAGCCGGAGGCTGCATTTAAAAAAAAAAAAGCCAACAGTCTGCTTGTGAATTACACAGAGGGCACTGGGGTGAGACAATGATGTTACCAGAGGGTTTCTGTCAAAATTTTCATCCTTCTGATAAAACCCATCCTTTGAGGATGGATTTAAAATCAAATAAATGTATTATCCTAGTGATTTCAGATAACTATATTGCTGGGTATTTTAGCAAATAAATAAAAAGAAAGCAAAAGCATGTTGTACAGTCTGAGTTTCTGTGATCAGGTCTAGAGAGATTCTGAGGGTCCAAGCAAATAAAACCTGCATGTAGATCAGGTTCCTTACTGATTACTGATTAAAAAAAATCACTTATTGTTAACAACAAAAACATTACAAACACTCTGTAGCAGCGTAAAGACTAATATACTTTGTTGATATGCTAACTGGCTTATGGAATACTATCCTGAGAAGCAGTATATGTTCTTCGTTTTTGTTTTTTTTCTCTCGAGGATGTTAATCAGATGGATTCACTTGACATTAACTTGAAAGGAGGTTGAAATGCTGTTCTTCAATCTGATGGAGAGCTTGGCTGCACTTCTTAGTTGGGTATAAGAGTGGAGAAACAATATTCCTTTAACCTCTTTCTCCTGAAGTGCCTCGGCCTCCATAGACACATTGGCCTTCCCCTGCGGAGCTCTTGCGAAGCTGTGATGAGTGTGCAGCTCTGTTCTTCATTCATCTCATAGAATCAGCTTGACACATGAAATTCAGAGTTAGGGTACCTCCTAGATGACAAGCTAGCCTTGTCTAAAGATGTCTAGTGGTGGAGACAGGCATTGTCTGGGCTCAGCGGCAAAGCAGCTTGTTAGTATCTATATGTGAGGTCTTCAAGGAATATTAGGGTTATAGGCTAAACTGGGATTTTTAAAATAAAAATAAAAAACCCTTCCTGGAAGAAGGAAATGGCAAATTATTTCCCAATTGTTGCCAAGGTAACTAAATGTACTGTATGTCTCCATAAAATCAGCAAGAATCTAGCTCAACTTAAAGGAGACTTCAGCATTTAAAAAAAGAAGACTTGATTATTCCCCTTCCAGAAAATTGTTTCACTTTTAAATATCTCATAACATCAAGAGCAAATTCAGCAATGTTCCTCCTTTAACATGTAGATCATTACAGTTAATCCTAACCTTTGGCTCAGCAAATATTTGTCCTCTTCTAGCTGACAGCCTGAATTTTGTAAGATACAAGTCCTTCTCAGTACAGTATTATATTACAATATAGTACTGTGTTATATTATATTGTTCTCCATTTCGTAATAGCTTTTCTTGCTTCCTGCCTGTCATATTGAATGACCATTTAATTAATTTGGGCCAAATGAGAGATTGTCAAGACATTATTATGGGCATTAGGAAAAAAAAATATAGTCCTATGTCTCAGTGGTATGATGTGGATCTAAATGTAAAACAGCCCCTGATTTAATACTAGAAAGTTGAAAAATCAAATCTGGGCTAAATGGACCCAAACATGTGCTTTTATGTAACTTTCTTTGCACTAATTATAAAGAGTTCATTTCATCATTTGTTGAATGTTATATATTTCAGCTTTTCTGAACCTGGTACCCTTCCAATATTTTGGTCTTTCATTGTTTGTGCTGGCTAGGGATTGTGGGAAATTGTAATCCAACATGTTTAAAGGCACCAGTTTGGGCTAACTGGCCAAGGGCATTCCATAGGCTTGAAAGGATGGCCTTTGATTTTTAAAGTAAAGTTTTACAGGTTAAACAGAATTTATTTATCCCTCATGTGACTCAACCCTATTTCATTTTACAGCAGTCAATAAGGAAAGCCCACTTGTTTTAGCTTCCATCCACAGGAGCTTGTAGCAAAATAATCATTTCCCCAGATCTGACAGAGAAGGGGCTCGATAGGTGGATAAAACTCAGTAGTTGGATAAAACTTCCGAATCCAAACATCTGGCTGATTGTATGACCAATCATAAGAATAAGGAAGGCCAATACAAGTTAAAGAACTGGCAGCTACAAATTTCACTGTTGTGTATATTATAATACATTTATATTAATATTATATTTATATACTACATGGCTCCCAGAGATTCTGGGTAATTTACATAAAAGTCATAGGCCCGTGGTGGCGAACCTATGGCATGGGTGCCACAGGCGGCACGCGGAGCCGTCCCTGTAGGCACGCGCGCCATCGCCCCAGAGGGAGGCGGGGCCAGGCTGCTTCCCTCCGCCTCTCCACATGCGCCTGCGTTCTTGCTCTTTCTTGGCTGTGGGGGGGGCACGAAATCGCTCTGAAAGCATAGATCCGGGCGGCAGAGGCCATGCCCACCCAGCGGGCCACGCCCACCCAGCACCCGGCAATACATAAGTGGGTTTTAGGTTGCAGTTTGGGCACTCGGTCTCTAAAAGGTTCGCCACCACTGTCATAGGCAATGCACAGGCTTCTTTGTATATGTATGCATGTCTGTCTGTCTTTCTGTGTGTATTCATAGTCTACTTGTCTCATATTAGTATTGCCAACTGATATCAACAGAAGTAAAAGTAAAGGTTTCCCCTTTCCAGTCATTTCCAACTCTGGGAGGTGGTGGTGCTCATCTCCATTTGTTAGCCAAGGGAGCCAGCATGGTCCAAAGATGTTTCCATGGTCATGTGGCCAGCATGACTATACACTGAGGGGCAAGGAATACTATTATCTTCCCACCAAAATGGTACCTATTTATCTATTCACATTTGCATCCTTTCAGACTGCTGGGTGGGCAGGAGCTGGGGCAAGTAATGGAAACTTTTCAGTTAACAAGCTCAACATCTCTAGCCACTGAGGTATTGTACCCCATGATGTCAACAAAATAATTGTCAGATTATATACTATGTTTATTGGAAGAAAGCCATTATGTGGCATAGATTTAATTTAATTTAATTTAATTTAATTTAATGGAACAGGAATATTTAACTTGGAGAATATTTTTCAACTTTCAGAAGATTGTGGGTTGGAAATTTCCACTAGCACCTTGTAGTTTTTCCCTCAGGATTTATAGAGAAGTTAGAGAAGGGAATTTTCTACAAGTAGCGGAATTATTTATGTAGTTGTGTTACACATTCTCGCAATACCACGGGTAGAAATATTTATTTATTGAAATATT